CATATTTTGATGTAATTATAGCAAATAATGTAAATCGTGGCTTGGTAACGATGTCAATCCTTATGAATAACAGTACTTACTGTTTTAAAAATTAGTTTATAATTAAAATCTGAACGTGTTCCAATTTCCAAGGTAATCTGGAAATACTAAATTTGTGGCATCGTGACAAAAAAATGATACGCATCGCGTTTTTTTTTATTTTGGCTTAAAAACAAAACATTTTTGGCTATAATACCTTGGAAATATATAGCTTATTAAACATAGGTATAGTATAACATAACATTACTAGTTCTTTCTTTTTTACTACCGTTTTTAATATACTGACTGTGTTTAAAGAAATTAACAATATATAATCTTCAAATAGAGTTACAAGTATTTTAAGGCATAGTTCTTAAACACAACGTTAATTTGGCATCACTTAAAATGCGTTCTATTCAATTCCATTTTATATTGTATAGCGATTTTCTCTGCAGACATTAACAGCGGCCGCATTTCTTTACCTACCTATTTCTTAGGTTGAAAGGTCAGCTGTTATGATTATAGTGCGAAGGTTTATTATAATATTGTTATAATGTCGCAACGACTACCAAAACTAGAACATTCGGTGTGGTTTTTGGGTGTGTCTTGTATGTATGTATAATGATTAATGTATGTATTGCAAATGCCAAATCGTGATATAATAATGTAAATAGTGCAAAGCTATTTGCCCTGGGTATCTATTATGTTGGGAAAACTCATGAAACACTTAATACCAGTCAGTGTTATCCTGAAAGATAACGCCGCAAACTGTCATGACCATTTGTTGTGATTGTCCATTCAAAAAGTCTTGTTATTCGACTGTTCTTGAGCTGGAAGAACTATTGGCTTTTGGATTAAAAATATATGTGATTTCTCTATCAGACACTACACAAAAACTAGAACAAACTGTAACTTGAGCAGATTCATTGCTATAACCGAGATATTAACTAGGCTTTGGACATGATTGATGAGCGAAAAGTTGCAGATCGGGATGACACTTAAATTATGCTCATTTCAATTTGTTTGTCAATCCTAGCAAATAACTATCATTTGGAAAAAGATTAATATTATTGGTAGTAAAATTGATTAAATACCTTAACGATCCGAAAAACTACTGACCGGTATCTTTGGTATGTACACAAACTACAATAGAGCCAATACATGGAATTGGAGCCGCCAGTGTCTTCACAATAATACATTCCATGCTTTCAATTCTAAAATAATTACTTATGTTAAGCCTTACATATTTAAAAAAGCAAAATGAAGAACATTCTAAGCTTTCAGCTCATAATGGTTCACTATTCATTTATTTATTTCAATTCATTCGAAGGGCACATGGGAAGAGAAAGGTAGTAGTACATTTTTTTCAATTTTGAGATAATGACACCAGCGTGTCTGGCTGGAGTAATATTGTCCTGCAAGACAAAAAATGCATAACAAATAGTATATTATCTCTGAAGGAACGGTCTAATTAAACAGCACGGCACTGTGGTGGCGTACGACCTTGGCATTCTGATTTACATTATTATTATTATTATTGTTTCCATACAGTCGGCTGTTACGTCCAAGTGTACCTACTATTAAACCCAGGTTGGCTAATCGATTTTATCTATCAGACTGGCTCAACAACTCTCCTATGAACACAACACTGGCGAAGGCTGTCTTTGTATGCTTATCTATTGTCAACCGCCAACAGTAGTAGGATTGTAGATAATAGTCTTGGAATTTTCTAAAGAGTAGTCGACAATCGAAATTCTCCTTCCTCCTTTTGGGCACGTACTTTTCAATTATATCGCAGTCCTTTGAAAGGAAAAAAAATGATTATTACAAATTCGCGCTCAAAACTTGTAATGATATAATATACTATTATGCAAAAATAAAATGGGATCATCGTCATTTTTTTTTTTTTGGTTTTAATTATTGTGTAGAAATTTAGCACTGAAGAGAGCCAGCCCAGGTGGGTGGACGGCGGTCGTCTCGTGCCCTCCTCTTTGAATCAAACGGCTATTGTTAGCGCCAGACATGTATTATATATATTTTTAAGAAGTTTATATTTATATTAATAATAATAACAATAATATAATATTATGTTATATTCACATAGAGGTAAACGCCCTCAAAAAGAGTAGGTATAAGGTCGGTTGCCTGGCCGCAAATATAAATTAATTAACAAAAATAGCAGCCCAAACATTATTTCCGGATACACACAAACACCACGAGACGTGCAATTATACCTACTGTACTTTATTTAATTACAGTTCAATGAATTTACCCGTGTTGTATCCTAAATTCTGTTTACTGTAATTTCGGTGTAGGTAATTACATAGTTAAAGAAACCGAGTGATTAACCATTTGGCCAATTATAAATTGCCCCCGACATTAGGGTAAATTTTTTATTTAGCATATCGACCTATCAACATATTGTAGGTATATATTTTGAGGTAGTTAAACCTGTCCAATATATTATGCGAACTCAGAAGACACCACAAGCAGAGTTGTGTATTATTCGATTGAAACGTTATCTTACTAATCATCTAGATATCACATTATTCAAGTAAAAATATAAATATAATTGGTTTTTAGTAAATTAATTGTTGACATTTAATTCAATTAATTAAACATTACCTCTTAATTATTGGAACAATTGGCGGGTGTAATAAAAATGTTCTCATTTTATGCTTTTAAGATGCACACAGAGTTAAACAATTTTAAACATATTTACTTAACTAATATTTTAAGAATGGAAGTCGACGTCGGCCATTTTTGTGGGTATTATGTGTGTTTAAAACAATATATATTTATATATACCTATGATTCAGTGCTAGCAACTTAACTTTTAATTGTTATAATCAGTGATAACAGTTGTAAACATGTGATAAGCTTCTAATTCCCACAAAGATGGCTGAATATTTACCCGTGTCCGCTGTGACCGTCTTGTCGGCTTTTATTGTTATTTACATTCAAATGTGTTATCTTGAGATTCGCCATTTGCCCTTAAGGCGATAATAAAGTTTTTCCGCCAAATATCTTCTAATATTATACGAGGTAAACGAACATCTGATGTTTTTGCACACAATACATTAAATTTGTAATATTATGCATATCATAATAGTAGTGTGTGTAATACATATTATTATTATAGGTACTTATGCATTTATTGTAAAACGGTCAACGTCGTCACACAGTCGACATGCAGATAATAATCGAATAAGATTGCACAACAATAAGACAATATTTTCGTAAGGCTGCCACGAGAGGCGTTTGCGTTTAATTGTTAATGTCACAGTTAAAAAAAAAAAAGATTTACTCTAAAAGGTCTTGAATGGGAGAGTATATTTTTTTAAGAGGACCCATTTCCCGACTAGGATGTCGTAATAACCGTCTCGTGCAGTTTAATGGTTACATTTTTTATTTTTATTATATGGAGCCGTGCTCTATTGTGCTGTAGAAATTAAACTAAATATCACGTTGTGTAATACTATCATGCCATAATAATAATATACTCTATGCGGTTATTATCGCGTACGGTACATAATGCGAACACTATGAAAACCAAACCTATTTCTTACGTTTGAATTCATATGTTTCCTTTTTTATTATTTTGTTCCATACAACAACGAGGATCGTGTGTTTAGTGTAAAAAAAAAAAAAAAACACACAACAGTCTCGATTAATTATATAATATTATGATTTATTGGTACACTATTTTAGGTTAGGCTTAATTTGTGCAATACAAGCGTCAGTTAGTTATTTTATGGTTTTTTTTTTTTATACTTACAATGCTAGTATGTCTATTTATTGTTTTTAACTTGCATAGACCAATAAGTTAAAAAAAAATTGTCACAGACTAAATTGGAATAACCTAATTCGCCTCTATATCGATATTAACCTTTATGCTAGTATATACATTTTTACTCTTTTAGCAAAACATTTAAAATGTTGTAATCACAATATGCATACATTTGTTTACACGCATAACAAACATTATAATTCCTAGTATTTTACATAATATATTTTATGTAAAATTGGTCTAAAATAAAAATTACTTTGTTTAATAAATATTAATATGCTCTTTGGCTATAAACGGATGGTTTACTTTTGAAAGGAGTCAAATTCGTATGATAGTTATTTATTTTATTTTGGCGATTGCGAAGTTAGGAAAAAAAGTTCTTATCAACGATTTTTATAAACATCTGTTAAATAGTCATAATAAAATACATTGGTAAAGTAGTTTTGGTTTGCATCGCTCTATTGCACATAATCCCGTTTATGATTTAGTAATTTTATTTATGCGGAAAAGAGGTGATAGAACTCATTTGTATTTGGAAAGGGTCAAATTCGTTGTATTAAAACTCTTACTGTTGGATAAAAAATACATTTAAAAAACTGGTATTTGCAAATTTAAATAAGTATAGTGCATATAAATATTTAATACATTTTTGTAAGTAAAATTAAATTTGGAAAACGGTTTATTTTTTCGAAAGCTAATCTTTTCGGATTGAACCTCATTCATAAATAATCGATTCATATTTAATGTATATTATGTACAAATTAAACACTTTAACGTTAAATTATTTTACACGCAGTATCTGAACTCGGATGAATTCAATGCTAGTGTCACAAAATAAACCGAAAGGGAATCTTAGAGGTTATCAAACAACGGTCAGACATATTAAAATTGATAGCCAGTGGTGCCAGAACGCAGATATTTGTTTTTTTTAAAAGTTATTCTGCGATTCATTCGGTTACACTGTTCAATGCACCTGTCGCCCATCTTCATGATGTCGGACATGATTTTATCTCGTCCCATAAGAGCCCATGTAAGGTTAGGTTAGGTGCTTTAGTTTCGTTTCTGTTTATTCTGTGCTACTGTGCTTTTGATTAGCTCGATGGTCGCAGACAGAAAATTCAAGATGGAATTTATATTATATTATCATGTTCTGGACTATAATATTAATGTGGTGTTTCTTTTCTTTTTCTAGCGCACAAACACAGTCATGGATTACCAGAGAGCCATCACCACCAACACGATCATGAACACCACCAATTTATGGATCACGAACACTCATCTCACGTGCACGATCATTCATCACACGCGCATGCACATTAGAATTACCCAATTTTCTAAGTTACCAAGCCCATCGTGATCTACATTTAATATTAATTCATAATTTATATTTTTTATGATATTAGTCATGACTATAATGTAATGATATTTTTCGCAATGTATTATCGAATACTTTTACAGGTATTTTCATTATTTATTTATTTTGTAAGAGAAGAGACGATCTTGTGCGGATATCGGAACGGTTAAAAAATTATTTTCCATTGATGTAATTTTTTTTTTTAATAATTTTGATAATTAAATATTATAAAAAAAAATGTTGTTTTTTTACCCACTACGAACGTTTTATTTTCGAATCGCTATTCTTTTTTTATCCTATATTTACATTGAAAACCCAATGTTTTTCTATTTATGCTGATTCAGGAAATGAGATGTACCGTATAATAATAATAATAATAATAATGAAAATAATAATTGATTAATAATAACATATATACGACGTGACGAACAGTTTTAAGCAACCTTGAAATTATTTTTATACTTTTTATTTTATTTATTATAATTAAAAACTCTTTGCAGAAGCACGACTACACGGTTATTATTATAATCAAATGATAAGATTATTAAAATGTGATTGGCTTTAAACAATTTTACGGGGTTTGCAATGAAATTTTAATATACTTTGTATTTTTAATTTTAATTTTTTTATAAATTATCATACGCTGCATATTGATGTGAGGAAATTGTTTTTCAAAAAATGATCAAAGATTGTCAACGATTTTTTCCAGGCATAGTTGTCATTTGATTTAAATAATATGTTGCATAATAAGACGTATGAGTAGAAATCTTTAACATTTTGATTTGATAAAAATGAACTATAAATAATACTTATCATACTGACGTTATACTTGTTTTTTTGATAGATGCTATTTTTGTGAATATATAATTTCCATATTTAATTTTCTCCTCTAAAACTATTACTTTTGACATACAATTTTTTTATTAATATCATATGGCCTTGTGATGGTCAATTATATCATAATCTTGAATCAACTGTAAATCAATTTGGTACAGACGTTGTTCTCATATAATTTACCAGTGGTATCGTACTTAAGGAATTATCCAAAAAAGCTATTCGTTAAGAGGAAAAGAATAAGCAGTGTTTAACAAAAATATGATTGATCTAGTAGCCATTTTAAATATGCAGAATAACTTAAAAGTGGACAAATATTAATTTCGGTTATAAAACTTTTAAAGTTTATTTTTTTTTTTGGTTAAGACAAACGTTTGATAAAAAAATGTGAATTCATGATGCGATTTTCATAGTGAAAACTGTTTTCAATGTCTTATTATGCAGTGTTTGGGAAATTACTTTTAAAATGTAATGCGTTCCCATTTATTATTCATTATTTTCAATTAATGAATACATTAGCATTCATAAAAAAATGGAAAGCATTCCAGTGCATTAAAAAAAAAATATGTTTAATAATTATTCGTTTGCTAAATAGGTATTAAATTATGCTTAAACAGCCAGTTTCGAATTCTATTGTTTGATGTTCTTGTAAAAACATCAAACCAACATGTGATATGTACCATTGCTATAAAATTAACCAAATCTTGAGTTTTCAACATTTCTTCTCGGATTTCTAAGAGAAAAAAAAATTAAATACTAACGAACCACATTGCTTAATACAATGAATGTGTTGGCTATATAGCTAATTTCGTTTTTTGTGAAAACTCACAAGGTCTATTGAACATGTGTATTGTGTAAGTACACTAACCGTATTTTGTCATTAAAATATAATCTTTATTCTGTCATTATAACAATATAATCTATTTAAACAACCCATCTGGATAGAGGGCCAGAGATTAATTTCTGAATACCATCCTAGAATTTACAGGTTAAGTTCTTGAAATCTCTACTCAACAATTACATACAATTAAAAAAAGTATATCTTCAAACGGTTTGGAGGTATCTAATTAATGTAATTAATTAATTTTTTATAGGGATACTTTTAGCCCATTTTATAATATGATAAAACCTTTTCAGGATTTTAACTCATTTATAGCTTTTATTTTATCGTAATTTTTTTAAAAATAATTCTCAGTATGTCACTAAAAAATCAGGTTGGCCACGATAGGGTTAAGACCTTGTATAAATATATTACCATAACGGTGATATATATTTATCATAACTACATGAAAGGGATCATAAGCGGTTAATAGCAAGGGTAGATAAAAAAGGTTATCGACCGGGTCTGGGTCAAAAAACCGTGTAACTTAAAAAATGCAAACGTTTTCGGACCCTAAACCCGACACCATAAAATACTTAAGTGGGTTGGCCCACCAAGGGTAAATCCAGGTAAGCCCTTTTCTGTAATATATTTTACAATACACTATATAGATAGGGTGATTCGTATAGGATAAAACACGCTCATTTTTTTTCATAAAAATGACAAATTTTTAGACAATTTATTTGGTAGTGTTATTTCACAATATTAGTTATTAATTCAAAATTGTTGTATTAATAATTTTTTTATAATGAGACAATACTTGTGTAGGTAGGCTATAAGAACATGGCTTATTATTAACAATAAAGATATATTATACTATTATTATGTTGTTGTTCAGACCAGATTTGTTTCTTCGAACTGAGTTGACAGCTGATCGTCTACGGTGACAGCTGCTGTTCAATATTGTGTGGTCAACACTGGTCTCGCTAACTGCTTGCAATTGTCAGTATTTATTGTATATTATAATAATGTGCAATAATTGAACGACCTAACGGCACACGGTGGGAAGAAGAATCAAACTATTATAACTGGTCAAAAATATATAATACACAAAAAAAGAAAAAAAAAACCAGAAAAGTCAGTAATATTTCAGTCCAATAATGACATGTTTAAAAAAAGGGCAATAATGATTTAATTGAGGGCTAAGACATCTGACGTTGCAACTTGTCTAAAATATTGTCGAATAAAAAATTTGCAGCATAATTTCACGGTTGTAACTTTCTGTTACTAAAAAAATTAGTTTAAACTTAATAATTTTGTTTAAATTTTACGATTTATCTACTAATTAATAGAAGTCAGTTAGTTAAAAATGTAAGTAGTCGACGACCAGTTTAGAAATTTTATTTTTTTGAGTCATAATTAACATGAAACAGTCTATACGTCTTGTTTGATATGGTAATTAAATTGAAAATGACTCTAAAAAAAGTTGAGTGATTAGTAACTGGTTATAATACTTATAAATAGTAATTTTTAATATTACTTACAATAAATAATTTTTATTATTAAAATAAGATTATGGACTACCGTTTTTTTTCAAATGGGAACATATGTTTTTTATTACATCAGAATACAAAATAAAATTAAAAAAAAATATTAGGGTTTTAATATTTAAATTTCATCAATCTCTTCAATTCCACAAAATGTGTTCGAATTCTTATAACATAAAATACTAAAATTGTAGTAGTGTAAATTGAAAAAAAACAAGTTTAGTATTAGAATTTTCTAATCGAGTGTTCAAAAATATATAAAAATACATACAAAATGTATTCAAAATAACCTTACAATATGAAAAACTCAATAAAAGCATTTCAATTCCATTTTAGTATTAAAAAAAGCAATCAGTGTTGGGACAAGATAATAACCGAATGGTTATCTAGATAACCAAATAGATGAAATTAACTACAATATTTTAATTAAGATGTATCTATCTCAACAATGCTTGCAATTCCACAAAACGTGTTTGCTAATAAATTAGTTAGGTGAATTTATTTTAAGATGATTTTTGAATACATTTAATGAACTTATGGTTAAGGTGTATAGCGTGGAAGTAAATGAGTATACACTAGTAACTAGTGAAAATATTATATTTATATTAAATATAATAATAAATAAATAAACCAAATGTACTATTATTAACACTACTATTTAACAACATAAAAGACAACACTGAACACGAGCGTTCGAGTGAGACTGAGATTGACTATGTAGCGCCGTAGAATTTTCTATGGTTGGCAACCGGTGGTGCGCGCTTGAGTATTTGAGAGTATTCTTCCGGAGACGCGGCGCGATTGTTCTATAATATTCGCGTGCGCTCACCACAAACTTGCAAATTAACCAAAAAACCAAATTAACTAAGTAAGGAAACCGCAGTTAGGGCAAAAGTTATTTTATAACCATATTTTGGTGCAATTTTATAATCATTGGTGCATAATTTTTTATAAATATTATTGTAGGATAACCGGCAGTTGTTCTCCGGATTGAGTTTTATCAACGTGTACGGAATTCTTTATCCAAAGGCCCAAATTTGGGTTTCCAGTTGATAATGTGTTGCATTTAATTTTATACATTGATCTTTCGTTGTATGAAAAACCCAAATTTTTTGTACTGTTAAATGCGTTAGATATAAAAGATCTTAAAATTACTGTGTGCAAAAACACACTACATTTTCATTGTTTTAAGAGTTTTATTTTTTTAGTTCGGTAGCCATGTGAATAACAAAACATGAGTAATATCCCACAAAAAAACACTTCTCTAAATCAATACACATCCACATAAACCATTTACAATCTTAGAATTTAGCACACAATAATGCGCTGTAAAAAAAAAAATTGAAATCGACATTCTTTTTTATTAAAAATATTATGTAGGATTTGCATTGTTCTAATTTAAATCGTAATATTTAAACCAATACAATACCATTGCAGTTGACCAACCAGGATATTTTTTCCACGAGTGGTTATATATATTATTCAATATATATTTTACACTGTTTTATTTAGTCACCCGACATTATAACTCCATTTAGGTTATGTTATCTCTAACATCAAATCTCTATACAACCATTAAGATGAATTATCTATTAGGAGTATAAACTATGAAACCCTCACACAAACTTGCACAGTCATTTAATTATGGTAAAACAATAAGGAAAGGACTTAGAAGCAGAAATAAATAGTTGGAAAATATTAGATAAAAAAAATACAACTTTGTATATTCGGTAATTATTTACTTTATTGGTAGACATGTCATAAAACAGAAATAAACATATAATATTATGAACTAACAAAAAAATGTATTATGTGGTATATGTTATTGAAAAAATCCACCGACGGTTCTTTTCCGGTCAGCTTAAGTAAATGTTAATATTTTACTACAATTAAAGATTTTATAATGTATAATAGTGATAATAATAAGATAAATTTGAATTTATTGTGCAATGAACAGAATACAGTTGCCAGTGTTTAACTAACGCTAGATTAATAAGGTGCAGTTTGTGGATGACCCTCTCGTATTAGTTTCTCAAGAAATACAACATCAGCTGTGTTGTATCTTTTTATGCCTTCATTAATATCCGTGAAGATGCAGGTACGGGCAGGTAAGTCAATATCAACTTTTGTTATGTATGTTGATGGAGTTTGTGTACTAGCGAATACTCCAAGAAAACGACACTTGAGTAATAAAGAAGCTTCATCATCTCCATCTTGCACAGTTTCTATTAAGACATTTGAAAATATATTTTTTTTTTAATTTGCTTATATTAGCTTACTAGTTATGACATTTCTTTATAGTGTAGGACACGACTGTTTTATTTGTTAATACGAAGTCATAAAAAAATAATACAGTAAGCATGACTGTACTAGTCATGCTTAGTGTATTACATGAAAGTACGTGCTAGTAGTTATAATTTATTTGGTTATTTGTTAAAAACTAAATTCAGTTGTATCCTTGTTCACATTAAATATATATATATATATATAAATATATTAATAGGGTTCAAAAACCACACAACTCCGTAATAATATATACCTATTATACGACGTCCGATTACATTTTTTAAAGTCCAAGCAACAAGTCGTCTTCTCTTGCTTGCAATTTTTTCTAATGTTGCCCCACCTATGAAAATAGTTATTAAATGTCTGTGTTGCGAAGAAATAAATAATATATTATTCGCTCTTTGTACAAAATTATTGCATTACGTTTCAAACAACTGTGATACAACTAACTTTATGTACAACCATTTATTAGTGTTGCAACTCAACAAAAGTATTCTTTTTATACTTGAAATCCCAAAGAATTTATTACACAATAACACTGCAGTCACACTCTCTCTCACTCTTTCCTCAACAAAATGTTAAGTTTATTATTAACAATTATTTGACATGGAACACTAAATAAGTAATATTGAGCAAATATTAACTCTAAACCAAGCTTTTAAGGCTATTTACGACTATCAAAAAATTCGTAATTACCATGGTAACTTCCATTAAATCTAAAACCTGTAACAAACACAGCGAAGCATTATGCAGTTACTAAAACCCGGTTTATACATTTTTTACATAACATTCACTCTACAGCTGAGAATAATTAGATCAATACTAATTAATGCAAAACATTTGATTTAAATGTTAAATTTATATCTTATATCGAAGTTTAAATAAATGGTTTAAATTATAATTTGAATGATTCTTAAAAACTTCAACATAAAACATTAATAGCTTTATGACTTTAAGTTATAAATCGAGTTTTTCTTTAAAACTACAAAAATATGTAACTATACATTTTTTAATTATATATTTACCCAATATATTTTCTAAGTTTTGTGTCATTAGTTGTAATAATATATTGGCTTCTAAAATTTAAAACAAAATAATTTTTAATGTCCCTTCATATTTTTTATGATTGAAACCGATGTGTCAAATTGGTAGTTGTCAATAGATACATATGTTTATTTTCAAAGTATTAAATATTAATTATGCAATATTTTATAATAAATATGAAATACGAAAATAGGGTTTTTACTTTGTGTTTTGTCACCAAATGCTGGAAGTGCTGAAATTAAAACAAAAATCTGGTGTGCATAAAGAATATCAAACAACTGTGTGGAAACGCTTCCATAAAATGCAATGAAAATTATTACCCTCTATTCTGGGGACAATTTCTAAATGGTCTGAAATTAACAACACATAAATTAATGATATTGCATTTAATTTTCTATTCTGTTATGAAGTATGAACAGGAAGTCGAATTTCAAAGTAAAAAAATCATGTGTATTGGTAGCTCGGAAGAAATATGCTCCACTGTATATTCAATACGATGAGAGTCTTGTTGAAAAATTCGATAGGAATGAAATATTGGAAATTTTTTCATAAAATTCAACAAAAACTATTACCTGGTACAGCAAGCAAAAAATTATATCTGCCTGAAATTGACATTATAGAAATTAATGATATTTAATTGGATTTGCCATAGTAACATATTACATTATATAATTATAAATTAGATGACGAAGGTCAAAGTAGAAAAAAACTATATAATATTTGTTGTAATATTTCTTATCATATCAATGTATAATCACAAGAAAAGGCGCTGTCTTGTTTTCATTGTTTAATATAAAATTATGTCATAACTTGCGTGTAACTTCTTTATTTAAAATACTAAGTTTAAATAATATTAAGTCACTTAGACCTTATATATATTGTTCGATGTACTAACAATATATTAAAACAATACAGACTAAGAAATCCTTATGAAACGTAATAGCTGAGTTTATGCAGTTAAGTCGATGAGAATTAAATATACTAATCAGATGAGGTTGATTAAGCTAACATCGGTATTTTTCGTAATGCTTCTATTTAGATTTCGGTGAAAAATATAATAATTATAACACTCATCAATTGCGTAACGATAAACTTGACATGCAGTCATTATATTATTTTCAATTATTTTTTCTACTCTTGTCTTGATGTATTTTATTATGATTTTAATTATGATTACAGAAATCCGTGGCATCATTCATTGTCTCAATTACAAGCTCCAATCCATCTAGAATAAACAAATGATGATTTGAACTATACCAAAATATTAAAATTAAATCAATTGAACTAAAACAAAGCATCTATATATATTAGTATATTATTTTAAATATAATATCTTACTTTTTCTAGATTTATCTCCTGCATGAATCCTAAAATCTTCCATTAAATAAGCTTCTCTTAAGGTGGCAGCTGTCATACATAATTTAAAATTTTTTTATAAAAACAGTGGATTCTAAAAACATTAAAGACATTTGTTTATAAAATAAAAATGTTACTGACTTGTCTTGAAAACATAATTTATATAAACAGACTCTGTAAAAAAGTGAAATATTGAATTTTTATCAAATTTTAACTATTTTAAACTGTGAAAATAAAATAATTACCATCCTCATTTGCCAATACATCCACAAAAAACAAACATAATAATAAACAGAAGAGTTTCATATTTATCTGCGAATAATAATAAATAAAAAAAACAACATTTTATATTAGTCACAGTTAAGATAAGAAGATTAGGTAAGTATGGTTTTGCAAGGCAGTTTTAATATGAAAATATATTATGATAAATATATATTTTTGTGTATTTACACATTTTTTTACCAGACTGACAATATTTCCTAGACCGTTAAACTGATTTTTTCGTGTAGGAAGGTAGAAATCTTAAAAGGTACTCTATTTGGCCTAAATTACAGTTAATTCACTAATAATGAAGATAGACAAAAATAAAAATAAGTCTGTTAACTATTAAAATTGCATTGTATAAAATAGTTAGGTTACACTATTCAAAATAGAAATTAGAAAAAAGTATATATAAATGTTGTTATTAAAGTTAGATTTTATGATGTGAGGTTATGAACACTTAATTCTCAAGTGTTTAAACTTGACTACGCATAACAGATTAAAACTATTCATGATATAGTGGAAAAAAGATAACGTTTGTAAAAAGTAATGAAATATTATTTTCAAATAGTACAGATGTAGTAAAAAATGAAATTTTATAAATCGTTTTCATAATATATCACAAAGGTAGCGTTTTGATAATAGCGTAAAAAAAAATATTTCGTCCAAGTCAAAAAGGAATATTCAGTAAAATGATTAGATTTTCCATCATATATCATAAATAAATTCTCATTTTTGGAAAGTATTCATTTTTTTTTGTCTTATATACATGTACACATTTGTTTTAAGCGTTTCGTTTTAAAATGTTTAGAAATAAAATTAAAAACTTATTAACACGCAAAAACTATTTTTTCTTAACTTTTACTTAATTTTTGAAGTGAATTATAATGTTTTTTTTTTTTAAATTTACTTTTTCTTCACTGTATACTGACTAATTTTAACGATGAACAAAAAAACAAAAAACACGGATGATAAAAACCTTACTTTTTTATATTATTATATTAGATATTTTATAATGTGTATACAATTTTTAAACAAACAATTAATTATTATTGCTTAGTGCTTTTTAGCAAGTCAAACAAGAAAATAGATTTTTCCTATATTTTAGCATTAAAATGATATTTTGTGTTATATGATGTGTTATATTAATTTCATGTTTTTCTCTTATAAAATATATAGAAATCATTATTTGGAAATTTCTTTTTAAAAAAGAAAATGTTAAATGCTTTTTTAAAATTTTTTTGATGTAAAAAAAAACACCATTTTTTTCATGTTTTTTATTTTGGAATTTTAGTTTTAGCGTTTGCAGAAAAATGTTAAAAATATAAAACTACATATTTTGCAAAATTTAGTCCCCTTTAAAGTTATAATTTTTTCGTCATTGTACTGTTGTTACTTTGCTGAATATTGCAATTTTGACTTGGGATAGACAAAATATTTTTAAAATTTTTTTATACGTGTATCAAACAAACGATAAGGGGTTTTAGTATGTCAAACAGGAAAATATTTTTTTCCTAAATTTTAGCATTAAAATGATTTTTTGTACTAAATATAGACATTATTTTTCTAGATCATAGAAAAGTATTCGCTCTTATCAATTAGAAGTCATTATTTCCAAATTTCTATAATCCGGTTTTTATGTTTTTTGTTGTTTTATAATCATTTTTTTTTTCATTTGGAAAATTACTAATATTTTTCTAAAAAATTGAGTCAAACTAAATGAAAACTTAATTTTGCATTTTTTAATTTTATTTTTGGTGATAACAATTTTTTTCTAAAAACAAAACTGTACACGTATATGAATTAAGTTACCTACAAAGTTTTTTTTTTCATATATTTTGTACTAAATCGAAATAATTTTGCTAAATATTACTTATTTTACTTGGAGAGGACAATTTTTTTTTTTTTAAATTTTGGTTTTATACGCAAAGAGTTCTACTTTTGTGATGTATTATGAAAACTATTTAAAAAAATGCCATTTTTCACTACACTTCCTTCAAGCCATAAAACGAAAAATACCAAAATCTATTATAGAATTCTCTCCAAAATGTGGATTGTGAATGTGAAACGGTGATAAAGAATCGAATAAAAAAATAACTAGCAATAAAAAATCTTTACTATTGTTCTTAAACACAATAACTTTTGGCTCTTTAGGCTCATGCCTTTTTAGTTTAAACGTAACTACAATTTTTAGATTTTAACAGAAATACTTACTTAAATTGTGGAGTTGGTTCTTGGACAACAGTCGACTTGTTCAGCTTTTGGTACTAAATATACTGCTTGCGACTTATGGTTGGCCTTTTGTGTCGACCGAAAAAACACAATCCAAATATTTTTTTTCCGTATAAATATTGTGTTCATCTATTTACATAATCGGTTCATTTTTTTGGGGGGATTTATCGTGTACAAACAATACATAGAAAGCGTCGTTTGGACTGTTTTCCTGCACAATACGCTTGAATAAAAAAAATATATTATTGGACGGAATAGTAATTTTTTTTTTTTTATGGATTTACAAAAAATGTTTCGACTGTTAAACATATTGAAATTTAAAGCGACTTCAACTTTATTGAAATACTAAAATGCAAATAACATTAATTATATTACGATGTGTTATATACAATTAAAATTGACTAATCATTTTCAGCAATAATTTATAACAAAGTGCCTTATGCTAATTATGTTCAATCCAAAACAATGGCCAGACCTTTGAGTTGTTAAACGATCTCGAATTAATTGATTAGACATGTTATCGGTTAGGTTAATGGTTAGGATCACATAACCGTGTGAAATAAGAATTTTAATCAACCTTACCATGTTTACTACTGTAGCTACCTTGATTGTAAATGATTAACTTTTAATACATTATATTTGTCCACAAATTATGAATAATAGTGGTTCGCCCCGAAGGGATCGCCTATAAAGGGGATACTGCCGGAACTGTAAGCGGACCTTTTTTGGCTGCCCTAAGGCGTGTGCTGAGTATATGACCTCTCGTCCCAAATTTGGGGGGGGGGCCTTGGAAGGGACGGTAGGTCCCTAGAGTTATGACGTACCTGTTGAAGTACTTAAAATCAAAATGTTCAACGTTTGAACCAGTACTGTGCGACTATTTGCCGCGGGGTCATAGCGACTCAAAATTTCCAAAAAATAGGGGGGGAGGGGAAGTCACTTTTAATATGATATCCGCCCTAGCACCCCGAGGTGGACGCCGGCGGTCCCAGGTCGATTCGACGCGTATTGAATGTGCTACTGCACTTTAAGTTTTGCAGGGGGTGGGGTACCGACCGAAAAGTACTTAATTGGACCAAAACATATTTTTAACCATTTTCCCAAAAAGGGGTGGAAACTTTTTCGTTATTTCACTTTTTCTCAATGTAGTTTTAGGTCTTAAAGTCAGAAAACTAGACTGATATCTGGGGCGGGGATATAATATAATATGAGATTTTCTCAAAACCCTGTATTCAACTGCACTGTCAACAGGTTTTAAAAAAAAATGTTTAATAATTAACAATATTACTACAATATATTATGGAAAAAAACGACTACAATTTATTAACCCTAATCTCGCATCCACCCTAATACTAAAAATATATTTTTAAGCAAAAATTGCACAAAAGGGTTCCATTCTGTTATTTGAGTATGCATATATTTTTTGTATATTTTTCAGAAAAATTTAGTATATTGTAAGCACTACGGTTGAAGTACTCTCGGTTGTTTTGTTCAAAGAGTCTACAAATATTTATGAAACTTTCACAGGTCGGAAAGGGCAGTAATTGTTTTCTTAGGTGTTATTCGCCGTTTCATTTTTTCTTACAGGCAGAAAAACAAAAACTCATACTGTTGTTGTGCTGTTGTCGATTCGTGGTGATCATATAAAGACAAACAGTTCGATAAAAATATATACCTACATATTTTTTCTCGAGTATAAAAAATTGTTTTTTTTTTCCTTTTTAATGTCCCTTTTAAAATATTTTCCTAAAAAAAACTACCCATCAACTCCTATAAAATGGGAGGGAGGGGGGAGGTCTAGAAAACTTCAGGCCGTTTAAAAACTCTTAGAACTCCATGAGAAATTCGTCAAAATTAAACAGTTTCTGAGGGCTATGCCCGATTGATGTCTTTCGAAAGTATAAGAAAATTGAGTTTAAAATATTTTTTTTGCTTTAACGTAAATTCAGGTCGAATAATATTCACTGCCAAGTTTGGTTCTGTGTTAAGTTAGCTGTTGTTTTTCATTTCGAGACTCGGCTATACCGTGCAGTGTACACAACGGCCAAATATTTACACTTGTTCTGCTTAGGGAAAAAAACGAACAACAAAATACGGCGTAGGTATCTTATGCGATCAACTGTATACATAAAAAAAAAATGAAATACGAAAGAAATTCTCAAAGGTCAATGTCAACCGATCACAATACTTTTCATAATAATAATAATATATTATTAAAAATCTGTAAAATCTGATCCTTTTTCAAACTAGCAATCAATCTTGAGCCACACCGTAAAGGGCGAAATAAATACCTGCAAATGTATTGTACAGGAAAAGATTCATGATATTTAGTTAAAACTATTAATGCTATAAGTGTTAATTTTTTAAAAATGTATAGCGTGCCGCAATCCGGAATATGTCTGTAACAGGCATATACCACTTTGACATGGAAATTAAATTATTAGTTGGTTATTATTCGCCATTAGTTGTATTATTTATGTGGAAAAATCAAAGAAAAAAAAACCTTTTCAGTTGCACATCTAGCATGATCGTAGAAAATACATGTATTATCAAGAGAAGGCGGCTAAAAAAAATTCTGGGGCAGGCTATAGCCCCTTTGGCAGTGTTGGACAAAATCGTTATTTAAATAAATAGCGGTTCTTGTATCATTACAATGGTTTATTAAGTCGTGTTTTTCGATTAGAAGGGTATCTGCTAAATAACAAGGCAAATTTCGAGGGGCAGAGGCCTCTCAGTCGAAGACCTAAGTACAATCTAAGTTGTAATACACGAGCAGAATAATATTGTACACTTGCGTTGTTCAAATAATAACATGTTTTCGTGTTAAACTAAAAATATATGAAGGTTACCCGTGTACGAATTTTCTTCGGTTACTTTCAACACGGTCCATGTACTAATTCTGAACTCGAACTACTACTACTACTACTACTCACTTATATATAAAACTTTCTTAGTGTGCTGATTTATACTATGATTGGTTTGGACTGTACTGGTTTGAACCTACTCTCACAGATCCATCGAAGCATTTATTTCAAAACTTCGGTTATAACAAATTATTTACCCCAGTGAACTCCCCGTCCCCACTACGCCCCGACCCCGTTGTACTGGTTTTTTTTTATTAAAGTTGACAGTTGTTTTATATTATTAAATAATACGTATTTTTGTAATTGAGAACTATTTAGTTGCTATACCGGTTATTATATTATATAGATTTAGCTGCTCAGTCAGACATCATACCACAATAATTTATCATTAAGTTGAAAATAATGTGATCAATTTCATAAAATGTATTATTTACTCTCAACACTTTCTAACCTTTCTGTTGTATTTGTTTCTTACCAGAAGAAATAAAATATATACCTACCATTGTGAATGTCTATCAAATACTATTCAACTTCCACCTTAGCAGCGAATGTACATCGTGTGCGCAATCAGATAGAAAACACAAGATTTATTAAATTCTATCACTTACAAAGTCCATAAAACTATAAATCCACAATTCCCCAGAAAAATTAAATTCTCCAAAAATGTCCCCAAGACGAAAAAAAAATCTCCAAAAAAAGGAAAAATCCCCAAACCTGGCAACACAGTAATTCTAAGAGTGGTTTACCCTTTGGGAACGATGGAAGGAACTAGTTCCTTTCTTCAAGCTTGGAACGGGAATGGACTAGTTTCTTTTTCAAAGGAATTTTTCAAGCACTGATACAGTGCAACCACATCTTAGAATAAGACAGTCTCGCATTCACTCGAAGAACTGTAAAAAGCCATAAGCCTAACTTTTCGGTTGAAAAGTGTTCAGAAATATTTTAAAATGTCTTATGCTTGTAAGTACATAAGTTGTTAGTTTCACATGCGTTGTTAAAGAACCCTAACAGCATGTAATTTGAGTAATTATAATTTCTAAAATAAGAGTAGGTGCTTAAGTGAGCTTGACTTGGACTTATAGATGACTAATATTATTTTATTATACGTTGATTTATTTTACACTAAAAACAATGTATGTAAAATGATTATGATCTGTTTTATTATTTGTTACAATTTGAAATGTATTATGTGTTTGTTGTTCATGCCATGCGAAATAAATAAATAATAATTCCTGTAGCCCTGTGACCTCCTTCTCCCCACTAAGCCACGACTTAACTGTACTGGCTTTATTTTTTGGAAAAAATTTTAACGAGTAGACCGATTATTTTCTAACGTGTACGGGTTTTTTTTTCTAAATCAGAGGCCCAAATTTGGGTTTCCAAACTATAATGTGTACGGTTTTATTTTATGCTTTGAATTTTCGTTGTATGAAATGCGCTAGCGTATTACAAAAAAAACGTTAAAGTGCGTAAACAACAACGGTTAGTAATATTTGGTTTGGGTCTTATTTACCTTAAATTCGTAACGGTATGCAAAAACATTGAGTAATACACTTGGAAAATCTTCATGGTGGTAGATTTGCACAAATTGTTCGTACTATTAAATGCGTTAGTATGTAAAAGACCTTCAGTTGTATTATGTTAAACATATTCGATATAGACACAAATGTGTTGTATACCTTTAGACAGAATATACAGAAATGAGAAAATTTTAAATACGTATAATGTAATACAGGGTGATTCTTTTAGCGCCCTACACTACTTTAATTGGATTTTTACAAAAAATAATGTTTAATAATTTGTTTGTGTATAAAATACTAACTTGTTATATAAAACTTTTTTTTTGTATCTCCCCCTCCCCTTCCTCGAAAACTCGACACTAACTTTTGATTTTCAAACGGTAACTCCTATAAATAGTTGTCTTTTTAGATAGACAATATTATTAAAAAAAAAAATACATATTGCAAGCTTAGTTCCAACTATTAGTTTTAAAATAATTAGCATTAGAAGACGTAATAGACGTGCGGGGTAGGGGTAAAATATTTTTTCAGCAATATTTAAGAGACGCTAAAGTCAATACTCGGATAGCTGCTGTACATCCAAGTTCCAATAAAATAAAATAAAATAATGTATTAAACTATTCAAATTACAATGTTATAACTTTAATATTAATAAATATTTTGTTTTTTTGAAGTGTCAGAGGCACCTACTCTAGTCAGTGTTATCCAAAAAAAGTTGGAACGCAATCCTTTATACTAGTCAGAACGCTGAACGGACATTGCAAACAATATAAATTTTTATTTTTCCTTTAGAATACTTATTTATAAGAATAATACTTTATTTGATTTTTTTTTATCTAGACCAAATTTTACGAGTAGAACGATTATTTTTTTCGACGCGTAGAGAATTCTTTAACCAGAGGCCCAAATTTAGGTTTCCAAATGATAATGTGTTAGATTTTATTAAATTCATTGAACTTTTGTTGTATGAAATACTCAGATTTTTTGTATTCTTTAATGTATTAGATATAAAGGATGTTGAAGTTACTGTGTGCAAAAACACAACACATTTTTATTTTTCATTGTTTTTAGTGTTTTATTTTTTTAGTTCGGTAGCCATGTGAACAACAAAACATGAGTAATTTACCACAAAAAACCCTTCTCTAAATCCACATCCACATTAACCATTTTACAGTCTTAGAATTTAGCACACAGTAATGCGTTGTAAAAAAAAATTGAAATCGACATTCTTTTTTATTTAAAATATTATGTAGGATTTGCATTGTTATTATTTAACTCATAATATTTAAACCAATACAATACAATTGCAGTTGACCAACCAGGATATTTTTTCCACAACTGGCTATATATATTATACAATATATATTTTACACTGTTTTATTTAGTCACCCGACATTATAACTCCATTTAGGTTATGTTATCTCTAACATCAAATCTCTGCATAACCATTAAGATGAATTATCTATTAGGAGTATAAACTATGAAACCCTCACCCAAACTTGCACAGTCATTTAATTATGGTAGAACAATAAGGAATGAACTTAGGAATGCCTCTTTATTACTCAAGTGTCGTTTGCTAGCATTATACCATAGTACACAATCTCCAGCATCGTACATAAAAAAAGTTGACATTGACTTAACTAACCGTTCATGCATCTTAACGGATAAAAATGGTGCCCAAATGGGATGCAGAACAGATAATGTCCAATTCCTTAAGCAACTAATACGACGTGGACATCCACAAACTCCACCCATATTGTAACATAATGCTAGAAAAACACTGGCATGTGTATTCTGTTCATTACATAATAAATTATTATTTATCTTATTAATATGTCTATATTCATTAGAACATCTGAACATTGTAAAATATTATACATATACTTAAGCTGACGGGGAATAAAACCGTCGGTGGATTTTTTTAATAACATATTCCACATAATTCTGTTTTATATCTGTTTTACTCTGATGTGGGCTTTTTTTTTCGCTGTATACACTGTAACTTTTTTAATACTAGACCAATTCCTTCGAATAGCAACTTTATAAATCACAAATTTTGTCTAGTTTGTACACTGGGTGGGGTAAAAGTTGAAAAAGTTTAATTCTTCACAGACGAAAGTTGAAAAAACAAAAAAAAAACCGTACGAGTTTTTAAGTTAGAACTTTTACTGGCTATAGTTTCGAGAAAAAGAGTCGGATCGAGTTGAAATGTATAAGAAATATTTATCTGGTATGCCCGCGCACGTCAGTTGTGTCAAATTTAAACTATACCCATTTCCCACCCCCCTAGGGGGGGGTACAAGTTTTTTTGTTTTTCGGGGTTTCTAGCCGTAATTTTAAAACTTTTGGGTTGAAAATTTGCCAGTAGTTGGAAGTCATATGTATCCATAACATATTAAACGGAAAAAAAATACGGCACTACAGTTTTTTTTTAATTGCCGGGAAACTGTGTTTTCGCAGATTTCGTATATTTTAACAAAAACACCTAAAATCTTTTAAAAAAATTGATCAAATCATTAAAACAATTTTATGTATATCTATGCAGAATGATACTATTAAGTTTTGTGCTCAAGTACCACTTTTGATTTAAAGTTTACACAAATTCAATTTTTTTTTTTTTTTTTTTAACTAAAAACCCGGTGTACCAGATGGGAGAAATGAACAGCCACTAAAAACTATTAGTTGGTAACGTCTATCCGTGTTAGATTAGGTTAGGGCCCAATGATCGGTATCATGATATTGTGTTTATTACATGATATCACAGACGACTAAATCGTGTAACTGATTATAGTAGACACTCGATTTATTGGGAAAAAAACCTATCCGTGTACTTATTAAGACACTTAATGATTCTGATACGACAAAACCACTGTCGTTATCTCGTTATTTTATAGCCTGCGTTATATAACCTTACCGAAGGTCAACTATGAGTATATAAGGTCCAACTACCTGCAAATTATGAAGAGGACTGTTGATTTTTGGATTCAGATTAAGTGTTGGTTTTTATGCAGTATACCGCCTCAAAATGTATTTTTTATTACACAATTTTTTTAAAGGAAAACTCATGTTTTGCATATTGTTATACTGTTATTCATTTAAAGAGATTCACGTTTGATTGTTTAAATTGTCTAATATTAGATAATCTGCTTCGTGCTATTTTTAATTTTTTAGTTTGTCAACTTGTAGCTCTAATTTTGTATAAAATATTTCATTATTTTATTACTATGTACAAATTAAGATAAATTTTAATAATAATTAAGTCATAAATGATAATACTTTATTTTATGACTAGATCAAATCTCGTGAACATTTAACATCATGATACTGCTCCTATGCTATTATTAAAAAAACACAATTTTTAAAATCTCCATAAAAGGTTATTGTTAAATAACAGGCAACAGCCGACCGCTAGTGGCTATACACGTTAGTAATATTTAACTAATAAGTAATATATGTAGGTAAAATGTATTGTTTTCTCCATCACAGAACCAGTATACGATTTATTTTAATTTAAATGTAAGAAAATCGATTTTTCTTTAGAAAATAACAAGAAATTAATATACAGGATGAGGCAGCAAAACGGCAAAACTTTCACCACTAGTAGTTGTCCGATTAGTGCTTGCTGAAAAATCACACCAAACTTTCGGGGGGAAATGTCCAACTTCATTGTCAATGTAATTAACTAAAATGTAATCTGTGAAACTGTCAATTTTATCATCATCACATGGTTTTATTGCCATCAAATCTTCCGTAAAAAATTCAACTACGTCATTTTCGTTTAAAAATGGCAATCCGAAAAATTACTTGAGATATCTACTTTTCTCAGAATTAGTCTTATATTCCTTAGACAGACCCAACTTGTGAATTTTTCGCCACCAGCTTTGGCCCAAATGGAATCGACATCCTTTAATTCTAACATTGGTCCAGACTTTTTTAATTGCATTGTGGATGCCATCTTCAAAATCCACATAAATTTCTGAAGGGAGAAATGTCAAACTTAGCGATGAACAATAGTTTACTGCATGTTGAAATGCATTAACATAAGTATTCGACTCTTTCGAGGGCAACAATAAGAACACAAGGGGAACATATGAATTTTTATAGAGACCATGAATCGTGAATATTTGAGTAATATATTTAGGACAGCTCTAAAACGTCCCGTCAATATATATTTTTTTAACATCACACAAAACTTCTAAATTCATTTTCGTCGAAAATCCTACTATCGAGTTTTCGAAATTGTTTATAAACATAAAACTTTCGTCGTTATTTGTTATAATACTCATCGATTTTAAAACATTTTAAGTTTACTTTGTTCTTTTAGGTAATTTTGGGTGAAGTAACGAATGAGCATAATGAATGTTTTGTTTGATTAAAATAACGTCTTTTGTCGTGAGAATTGTGTCACAGTTTTTTAATTAATTATGTAAGATTTTTGATGGTCGGGCAGAAATATCATCCACAGCTTTCCTTTTAATACAGTTACAAATTTTTTGTCTAGCAAGCACGTTTTCTTCACACTTTTCGTGATTGTGTTCATTGCAATTTTCTATGACTACATTATTAGAGGATAATTAAAAAAAAAACACTTACATGAGTGTTTGCAACAAGGTCACCGTTGTTCCTCGTCTTTTAACATTTTATGGAACCTAAACTTAAACCCATTAATTATAAAAATGTTTTTTTTGTTTTTCACCAGTCATACACTCCATGATTTTGTAATCGTTGTAAAAGTAGGATGGACTCAATTCGATGTTATCCATTATAAATTGTATTAATCGATACGTTTAGTTTAATCAATAGAGGAAATAGTCATTATGATATTGTTGTAATAATATTGTTAAGTAATCATCAAGATGTATAAACGTTTTGAAAATAGGTAGGTACCTACAGTTTGAATTAAATTTTTCATACCTTAAATCAACGTTTTAGTTTTCTGTTACATATTTATTACATGTGTTAAAAAAAATATAATAGTATTCAAGTGTCCTTACCGATTTGATTTCTTATATCAATTCAATGCGACGTGCAGCATTCACGGCGGGCGTGTCACTGCTTGTGTTATTTAAATGGAAACTATTTAGCTTCTATACACTCAGCTGATGTTTATTTTCTCTGTCATTATCTTTTTAGTTTGTGTACTATATAGTCCCCACATAGTAGTAATTACTAATTATTTTGTATCCGGTGCAGCAACACGTTATTGTGAACAAAAGTTATTTATTTCTTAAAGAAACTATACTTAATTATATCGACATTAATATTGTATTAATACCAGGGCTGTATTATTGTCATGTTTGTAAGCATTGGATATCGAATAAAAGGAAATATTAGGTATTATACAATATAATAATATTTCTGTCTAAGAAAATAATAACGATTAGGTATATCGTTTCATTTTGAAATTGTTTTATCCGATTTGTTTTACTGTATCTTAAAAATTAAATGTATCAAACATCCATACACTTTTTTATATTGTATTTTTCAACGATAAAGAAATGGAACATTTATTATATTTTGGAGGTTATGGCTAAACAATAGTTGCCTAGTAAAAATAGTTTATATTATATAGCGCATTGCACAATGGACGAGGTCCAAAAATAAATAATTATTATATTACAAAAGTTATCACAAAAGATGGTCGCATCAGCACCGAATATTTAATATGAACAAACGTGAACCGCGTTGGCCGGAGGCGAGCCGGTTGCTGCACTGTAGCCGGAAAGTCTTATCTCGTCGTGCCAACACAGCATATGGGCCCTCGTACCGCGGTTGCAGAGGTGCTCTAACCGCATCTACCCGAAGGAAGACGTGAGTCACGTTGGCCAGGTCTTTCGGTATGAAAATTGAACGCTGTGGTTGGTACCAGGTGTCGGTCGGATTTGTGCCATTGCTTCCCGGATGGCCGTGACCAGCTCAGGAGACCGCTCTACTGGTGGTGTGGGGTGAAAAAAGTTCTCCTGGTAACCGCAGCGTCGTGCCATACACCATTTCCGCCGGGCTGGTACCGATGTCATCCTTGACAGTGCTTCGTAAAGCGAGTAAGACCACGGGCAACTTTATGTTCCAACGTACAGACTCCTGTGCGGTTAGGACTTCCTTCAGGGTCACCACAATATCATGAAAAATGATTTTTCTATTTACACAGAATAACATGACATGGTAACGATTTGAACACAAATAACATTTATATATTAATGATCAAAATGATTAACAAGAGAATGCAACAATATTAAGTAGAATCAAATGCATAATTACAGTAAATTAAATAGGTATGTGGGGGGGGGGTAGAAGGTGCAAGCCACAAGGGTACGTTAGAAACCGGAATAATAAAATCCTCTGTCGTCGACGACGGGCATGACCGGGTACCGTTGCTCGCTTCTTAGGCTCATGGCCATGGCCTTTACCCTCGCGATCCTGGCTCTGTATATGGCGTCTCCGGTGGCGGTGCTCTGGCCGAAGCGGGCCGCCACGACCGGTGTCCTACGTACGGGTTCTTGGGCCGGTTGCGTTTCGGCGGGTTCCTGGGCCGGTCCCCTGGCAACATCGTCGCCGCCGCCGTCGCTTTGGGCTTCGGCCGTCGGTGGTTTGACGACCTCGGCGGCTTTGTACAGAAGTGCGCCTTTGATGGCCTCGAACGCACCGGAAACCGATGACCATACCCAGAGGTTCAGACTGGTGGCCAGATAGCCGGATTTCTGGCGGCCGACGTTGGTGGAGATTACGGGAAACAATTTTTTACAATATGAGAACAGCGTGTAACAATTGTAACCGACTAATGCGGTGGAAAAAATAACGTAGCTAATAAGAGCAATTAAATATATGAAAATAACAGAATAAATTAGATAGTAGATAATTATAATAATCCATACTGTATTGAAAATTATCGGCTTCGGAAAGTGCCGAGCAATAAATTGGCAAAACATACTAAGGATTATTAGGAAATATAAAATAGTTAGGATTACAATGGACGAGTACAAAAAATAACGGACACTGTCAACGTGGACGGAATACCAGGAAAAAGTAAAAAAAAGTAAACTGCAAAGTGCACTAACGCTGGAAATTAAACATATAAACTGCAAAATGTGCATAATTAATTGGTATGCAAAAATGAACCGATCCAAAGCCCGTCGTGCCGCGTTCCCGGGTTCGGCGGCATCTCCGCTGGCTGGTTGGACGTCGGCATCGGGCTCCGTGTGCGCCATACATTCCAAGAGTCTCATAATGCCAATGGACAGCCCGCCCTTAAGTGTATTGTACACGAAAGACATTGCTTTTGGGCACAAAGTTAACTTTTGATAATTATAAAGATTTACAAGAGAATGTGGAACAATCACTCAAGAAAACTTGAAAACAATGCAAGTATGACATAAACACTTTGAATTCACAAAGATTATTAGACAAAACAAGTACACGGTGAAATCAAGACAAGTTGATAGTTACAATAAAACATATTATTATTATATTTATTTGTTTGTCTAAATTCTTAACACCACAAATGGGTAACGAGTACGCAGTTATTAAAGTTTCACAAAAGAAACTATACAGCGACAACTTAGGTATTAGATGTACAAAATAAAGAAATAATAACAAATAAATATATACACAATAAACACACGTAAGCTTCATTACTATTCAATATATAATCTATTTTAATGTAAGTTGGGAATCAAATGAAAAATCAAAATTAAGTACATTGTCACATGCATCTAAAATGCGTTACTCCGGACTATATTTTATTAAGTTTGTGTAGCATTGTGGTATTAAGAACGGGCGATTATTTCTTGAATGATAAAGGTTGGAATTTTAAAGTTTATTTTGCTTAGGAATTCTGGACAGGATAATATTTACCATTTATTAATTTATGAATAAAAGCTATGTCATTGAATAACCTTCTAGAAGCTCATGACTCTAAACCCAATTCTACAGCTAAAATATTAGACATAATATACGTTGTTCCCATAAATGTTGCCCGATTGATGTGTGTAAGGATTAAAACAAGACAAATAATAAAGGTTAGGCTTAAGTATACCTACTCAAAAACGGAATTCCTTCTTCGGATTTGATTTGGTAATATATATTTTGTGTTTGTGAAAGCGCTTGCTATTCAAATAGCATAGAACATCTAAGGTTATACTGGTATTAGGTATATCATAAGTTGACAGCACCTATTGTCGAATCAGATACACTTTTTTAGGATTTGTCATCACATCCGTGGTAAAATAGGTAAGTATTTCTACTACGTTGTATCTCATTAGATTATTTACAAAAGACAAAATATATTAAACTTTTCATAGATCAAAGTGACAAATTTCCAGAAAACGACTAGGTATGTACACATAGTCTTTTTTTCCTTCAATATCCTGTCTTATACTAAAGAAATGGAACATATATTATTTAGTATTTTTTATTTTTATTTTCACAGAATAACATGGTAACAAACGATTTGAAAACAATAAACAAATAGGAAAAATGCCAAGTAAAATAATTATACAAAATAATCAACAACAAACAAATGACAATAATAATATTATTATGAATCAAATAAATAACTACAGTGAATCAAATAGGTCTGGAGGTACAAGCCACAAGGGTATGTTAAAACCCCGCATAGTGAAATCCTTTATCGTTGGACGTGTCCGGGCCTTCTTCTCAAGCTCATAGCGATGGCCGTTAACTTGGCGAGCCTAGCTTCATACTCGGCGTCCACGATGGCGGTGGTGGTTTGGCCGAAGCGGGCCACCGCGTTCCTGTTGCTTGGCCGGTCGCTTTGACGTCTGTGGCTTCGAATGGGAACGTACAGCCTAGGCCTTGCACGCATTCGAAATCGTTGACCGTACCCGACGGTCGAGACTGGCCAGAAGGCCTAGTGTTTGGTTGGCGGCCGACGTTGTTGACGATTGAAATAACAAAATACATTAGATAATAAATAATCATAAAAAAACATACTATATTACTACATTATTGGCTTCGGAATGCTGCCGAGCAATAAAAGGACAAGAAAGAGTAAGGATTAACATGAAGTATATAAAAAAGTAACTGCAATAGACGAATATAAAAAGTAATGGACACAGTCAACAAATAGAAGAAATCAAACGACACAACTGAATAATGTGCAAAAATAACCAATTCAAAGCCACCGTTCGCGCCACTTTTTCCTGGTAGTCTTGAATTCTCAGTTGTTTTCAATAAGCTTCTCGTGAATAGCGCCAAGTGCCTGCAAACATATTATAAACTGACTTGAGTAACGCCAACGATAATTACTATCCAAGTTAAACCCATCTGGCAGATGGCTAACGAAAGAACCTACAGCAAAAATCTGGCATTGGCCTCCAAAGTCTCTTGTGCTAACGTCTTGACCCGAGTCTTGGACACCAGGGAAGAACCGGGTTCGTTGAACGCTATGTGACCATCCGGACCTATGCCTGTGGTAGGTATAATACATATGTATCAGTTTAATTAAATTCGGTATAAGTTCGAGCAATAGTTTTTTTTTACATACAAAAATATAAATGGAATTAAAACGTTAAATAATACTCATATTTTGTTTATTATAATTAATGAACAATTATAAAACTAAAAAAAACATGACTTTAACTTTAAGAGAATGTTGGGAATAGGAAAAAAAAATCATAATTCTACACACTAAAAGTGAGAAGATAAATATTGCTTGTCAGTTGTCTTAGCTTTTATGTAAGAAAATAAGATATAAGTAGATAGGATTTCATACCAATGCGGTACAAAAGTCAGCGTGTTTCGATTTTATGACGTTTTGAATCAATTTTTTCTTATACCAAAAGTTATAGAAAGTCGCTTCTAAGCTCATTAGGAAGAGCTTGTCAAGAAGATACAAAATATGAAAAATGAAATGTTTTTTACATTTAAAGAAATTGACAGTTTTACCTAATTTTCTTTACACTCGCAGATCTCCGAAACCGATGAACTGATTTTATGTTTATTAGAATTAATACCTTGGCATGTAGAAGTTCAACAAAGAGTTTCAGAACTTTATCTGATACACTTCATTCACCACAGAGCTGCTAAA